TCCTGTCATCAAGTCAGCAACAGGTGCTGGGCTCTTCCCAGCCCCCACTCCTCCAGCACTGCTCCTCATATTCGAGCTGCTTCTGGCACTTGTATACCTGACAGCCCACTCACCCTATCACTCGCCCTCCCACTCGTCCTGTCGTGCTCCACACCGCTACCCCTGGCCTGGGAGTCCCCATCGCTAGATGCAGAGCTGGGCCTTGTGCCCCGTGCAGCCATGTGCTGTGCACTGCCCCACAGCCACGCTGCCTGCTGCTGCAGGCTCAGCACCCCTGCCCTGTGAGCAAACTCTTCAGTGTGCTCCGGTGATGCTGCAGGGAGCCTGTGACCTGCCAGTCAAACATAGAGGACGTGAAAAGGCGGGCCGGGGGCAGCAACTATGCAGGATCCTGCACACAAATCGTACACAATGCAGATGCAGCTGATTCTCACCAGTTGAAGAGATTTGAGTGCTGCTGGAAGAAGAAGTGGCTGAAAAGATAGCTGCTTGTCTTGTGACCCGGCCACAGCTTGCCTTGGCTCAGTTTGGCGTTTCCCCAGGCTGGTCACTGCTCCATCATATGTCAGCATGGGGCTAGAGGGCTGTGTGCTCTGACTGGTTGCTCCCTTGTCTGTTTCTCGGTTGCTTGAGGCCCATGGCTTGGCTCCAGGAGAGCGAGAAACACTCATGGTGGCCAGCGACTCAATTGCCTGCATCAGCCCGTCAAAGCCTGACTGCAGACGCTTGTCCACTGGAGGAGGACTGCCTTCACTGGGGTTTTGTGCTCCGCCTTGCTCACCCTGACAGCCATAAGTGAGGGACTAGGAGTGACGAATGGCAAGACAGAATGAACAGAAAATACTCACCAGGGGTCATGATTGTCAGCCGCAGTCTGGCATGGCTGCTGATGTGCCTCCACTTCAGCCTGAGTAGCAGAGCTGAGCAACGTGATTTCACCCTTACCCAGCGTTGTTGCAGCGGATCCTTTGCCCACTGAATGGTTTCCCTGTGCCCACTGCAACGCAATTCCTTCATCAACACCACCTTGCTGTAACGGCTTGCTCGTGCATGTGCTTGTCCCATCAGCAGCAACCCCAGGTGGTTCAGTTGTACGTTTGTCAGCGAGCCTTGACAAGGCACCATCAGCTCCATCAGACTTGTCTTCTCTTTTCCCCTCAGGCTCGGAACTGTCAGCATTTGAGCCCTGAGCCACATCCGTTCTTTCCTCATGCAGAGCTATCGTGATGGCTCCCTTCCTTATGGTCAGTGGGACTCCAGAATTGGAACGTGAAGCAAGAGGAGTGGGCGCCTCCAATCCCCCAACGCGTCCCTCCAGCCGTGAGACATTACCCGACCCCCCTCGCATCAGCATTGCCTCCCTGGCTAGCTGAGCAGCCACCAAACGGCGCCCTGGCTCCTCACCAACCAGCTTCGTCTTCCACCAGTGGTCATCCAATAAGACCCGTGGACGCCCGTGTGCCAGTGGAGGTGCTACCAGTGCTCGTTTGGGTCGTAAGAGGCCATTTGTCTTTGACATGGTCGGTTGAGCTGCTGCTGCCGGTGCTGTCTCTGGAGTGCCTGTGGTTGGACTGCTCACTTGACTTGCTTGACCCGTCACTGGACCTCGCACCAACAACAATCTCTGACGAATGCTCGCCCTTCATCTCTTTGGACAAGTCTATACTGAGGCTTCCGCTCAAGGCTGTTGAATGATCATACGCATAGGCACTTCCTCCCATGCCTATGCCTTGGCCTTCATCCAGCTCACAGGGACTTCTCCCTTCACTGACCCCATCGCCACTAGCCTCAGTGGCCTCCTTCCCTTTGCTGAAATCATCTCCATCCTTCTCATCACCTTCTTTTACTCCAAACATCACGCTGCGACCAGCCCCTGCACTCGCTTGTGACTCCAAACCCTTCGCATCACCGACCTCAACGTCAGCAGCATGATCCAGGTGTAAAACGTTCTCAGGATTCTCCATATCAGGTGGGGGGACCTGCAGGTTTGGGGTAGATAGCCGCTCTTGAAGGTGACTCGTTTTGAAGAGGGATGCAGAAGCGTTTTTGTATGCATCTTGTCTGCGCACCTCTTGTTCCTGCACTCAACAAGTACATAGCGTCAGCTCAATGACACGTGCTTGAATCTTGCCTTACATGCTTAATCGATTCATACCTGGAGCTTCTTCTTGTCCAATTCACTCATCTCAGCCACCTGAGCTCCATGCTCTTGGTGTTTCCGAAGTGCACTTCCAAGATCTACCATTGCACCACTCATTTTCGTCCCCAGTTCCACAAATGCTGCTACAGGAGCAGCCACGATCATTTGCAGGGATGGCATGTTGTTCAATGCAGTCTTGTGAGAGACTCCCTCGTTGCCTGCTGCATCTGATGCCGTTGTGCCTGCAGCTGCCTGCTGGCCAGTCGATCCAAATCGCCAGAGTGCTGGCTTGCGTGAGATGCTGCCTGCCTCCCCAATCAAGCCACCTTCAGAGCCTCTCCCTTCTGCAGAGGATCTGCTGGAGGTGGGCTTTCTCGGTCCACCTGACAATCTCTGCACTCCAGCTGCTATACTAGCTAATTCCACATGCCTAGAAACGTCTGCTCGAGCACCCTGTCTCTTCATCATACCGCTCATGTTGCCATAACCCATTATGCGTGCTTTGAGCTCTTCGTGACTCAGCTTCTGCTTCTCAGCGGATTGCATGGGAGCAATGGTGTCAACATGCGCACTCTCCACAACGTCCGCTGCCATCTGGTTAATAGGGAGCACTTCCACGGCATGACATTCCTCATTATCAGCTGTGGAATTAGCAGCACCCACCCCAGTGTCAAAGTTTGCAGTGACATTGGTCTCGTTAACTTGATCGGTCGGTGAACAAGCATCCACAGCATCAGGCGCTGATGTATCACCCTTCTCCAGTGAATCTTCACCCCTTTGCTCCGTGGCCGTGTCCAAGTTACCAGGCACAGATTCAGATGCTGCTTCTGGGGAGGCGTCATAACTATTTCCTGGTACTGGTTCTGTCAGCCGCTCCTCTACTGCTGCTTCTGCCAGGATTTGCTCACTGGTGCTGCTCTCTCTGGGAGAGCCGATGGGAGGAAGCCTTATGGTGGTACTGGTCATGTCATACATACTTGAAATCCACTCAAGAGCCGCACTCACTGGCGTTGCCTGAACTTGAGCCTTGCTTATTGTGTCTGGTTGTCACCGAATGAAACAGTATTAGTACACGCTCACTCGGGAAATGCACTCGCATCAGCGAAGCTTTGACATCAAGGTACATACCATGGTGCACTATGGAGGCAACTTCACCATCGTTGTTGAACACCACACAGCTTGGAACTGTGAAGCCACGCTGGCCACCTGACTTGCTGTTTTTGCTTGACAGGAAAGAGCTAGAGCTAGGAATTTGAATCCTGATTTTGCTTGTTTCCACTGAATGTGAGGCCACTTTTGAATCGTGGAGTTCCAGTACGCGACCCTTTTGCAGCTTCCATGAAAGAGCAGTGAATGGAATGCTTTCAGCAGATATCTTTGATGAGCTTCCTTGTGGAAGACGTAGAGCAGCGAAGTAATAGACGAGCAGAAAAGCATTCGAGCCAATTCCAAGGCTTCGAGACAATGCCGAGACATTGCACGCGACTGAGGCATGTTCCTCTCCGCAGGACAGCTGCTCGCATGCAACGATTGTAACACCGAGCGCCTCATTTGTTCCAAAGGCCCTGTCAGGGTAAGCGTAAATCAGTTATCAGATACCAGACCTTCTAGGCTTTCATTCCAATACGAACCTATCTGGTGATAGAGGTTTGGGAGCGCAGATTAGTTGAGCCGTAGCGTGAGATCCTTTCTTGTTCTTGCGTATAACGGGAGCCGAGAACGCCAACAAATGTAAGCCTGCTGCTGCCTCTTTTGACGGCACAGCGGAACGGGTTGTGATAATCAGACCGCCATCAAGCAGTAATCCTGTAAAAACCTCCTCTTTTTGGAGTTTCGCCAAAAGGTTATCGCAGCAATCAGGTTCTACATCTCGCAAGGAGGATACGCCGAATCTGTATGAGAGAACGAAAGGTGTCAATCCGACTTGAAATAGGGAACCATACGATACAATAAGCGCTTACCTGCTTAACAAGACAACTGACACCTGGTGTGGCTGTATGGATTCGACTGCTGGCCATGAACCGGAAACGACCCACAACCGAAAGCCATAAGGATGCCTTCTTCACCACTCGCCTACGCAACCAGAAAGTACCCCTCACACCACGTAATGAGATTTACTGTCTGGGAACTTGAAGCTCAACCGAGGTATCCATTGTGATGTGCGGAGTGATCTACAGCAGCACGATAGTGATGGAAAGCAGGGGAAGCTTGGCTTCTGATGGTCGCTGGAACTTGTCAAAACAGACAGACCCCTTCGCTGACGACCGATGTGGAAAATACAGAACTTGTATCGAACATATCCATACAAGGTCGTGAACAAGTACAGCCGGTGCTCCAGAACTTGTATGGAAAATATCCATAGTTGTTAAAGCTGTTCATTTTGCAATTGCTTGCAACCATTAAAATAATGTGAACCACCAGTTTCAACAAAGACTGACAAAGGTGCACTCGGCCATGTTTATTTAATAATATCGTTACTCCTTTTCCGTACATGAGCACAGTTTGATAATCATTCCATCCAGGAGATCTGACTCTGACACAATGCATGCTGTGCACTGAAGCACTTCCATTAATGATAACACAGCACACATACCCCCAATAATCACGTCCACATGGCCTTCCCACATGCCAGGTAAGCGAGCTCTGTCCTCTCGTGTCATTCCTGCGCATTTCTCGAGTATCCCAGTCACCACTTCCACATCCAAAACAAAACCTTGAACTTTCTCCCTTGTGTATGGCACGCCCTGAGCAAGCGCGGCAAGAGTTGTCAGTATCCCTCCTGTGCCAACCACCACTCTCCCCACTCCACATGTTGCCACTCCAGACCTCATACCCCTTCCTACATGATCGATGTGCTTGGACCAGTCGGTTGACAGTGCAGGAGAGAGTTTGCAGCGGTAAACCTCCCTGGCAGCAAGACGAGCTGCTTCAATGCTGGATGGAGAGGTGGGGCTGAGGTGGAGAGAATAGGAGCGCGATAGAGAGGAGGAGCCAATTTCAACTGAGACGACAGTGTGAGGGCCAGAGATAGTGGGTGAAGACGAGGACAAAGAGGAGGAACTGGAAACTGCACCCTTGAAGGGGGGAGAGATGATCCCCAAGGCCACCTCTGATGAACCACCGCCAATGTCTATCACTGCAAGGGGTGATTCTTCCTGTGCCAATAATATGTTCACTGCTGCGGTGGCGCCAAGAAATGTCAGCTTGCCCTCTTCTTCCCTGATATGACTTCCGGAGTTGAACCAAGTACTTGTGCGGCTGGGATGAGAAAATCTGCAGCATTGGCTGCACGCCTGGCAGCTGACGTGGCGCACATACTCGTTTGCGAGACCCCATGGACACGACATAGCCGTGCGAAGTACCTCAGGATATCAAGGCAAGTGGAAACAGTGTCAGGAGAAAGAGAGCCAGTGCGTGACACATCAGCTCCAAGAGTCACTGACCGTGTTTCGCGTACCAGCTCTCTGCTTCGGAAACATGAACCTTCGCCGCATTCGCATATGAGGAGTCTAAGTGCGTTAGTCCCGCAATCTATAGCCGCCACACGCACAGAAGCGGAGCCGTTGGGCGAATTAAGATGTCGAATCTGCGGCTGCAACTCATGACCAGCGCTGATCGACAAATGTCCTTGCTTTCTACTTGACTGGCCGATTTTCACACACTGGACGGAAAGCGGGGACATGAAGTCCCTACGGTAACCAGTCGGCTTGGGTCGCTGCGAATCGGGACATGTGAACGATCGTCGTCGGCCGAAAGCAAGACACTGCGGCCCCACGCTAGCTAGACGCATAGGAGCGACTAAGAAACACATATTGCCAAGAGGCCGCTGCCTTGGTATATGGTCTGCTCTGCTAGTGTTACGTGATCTCGCTTGGGCGTGGTTGTGACTGTCGCTAAAACATCATCTCGAGGAAAGGGTCGCTTGTCCTGTCTTGCACATGCATGCACCCATTGAGGACTTCAGCCAACTTGTGCTTTATCTGGTCTGCATGTCATCTGTTTTATTTGTAAGTTAATCTTCATTATAGTGGCCTATCCATGGCGTTTATAGAAGCACTGAGTGGCCAATGGTAAGGCACAATCTAGGGGCTAACATCTGAGCCAAGGTATGAACAGGCAAAACCCAAAATCCTGCAGCTTGTGATAGCCAGGCAAGAGTGCATCCTTAGGTCTGGCCCCACAACAGGCGTGGTTCTTTTCCCAGTCCAATACGGTGGGAGGAAATGGACACAGAAGATAACACTTATCTCGGGGAAACGTCGCTGCATTGAACAAGCGCTAACATTGAGAGTACATGCTCAGCAGAACCTATCCGTCGACAGCTTATCGGTTGATCTCCTCGTCCAGGTCGATGTGGATGTACTCTGTGTCGTCCTCCAGCCGCTTGCGTGAGCCGCTCCCAGCTGGCACTGGCGTCAGAGGCAAGGCCCAGGCGGCTCTTGCCCTTCGAAGACTTCGGCCGGCACTGAGAGGAGGGAAGGATAAAGGGCAGGTCATTTGTTGAGTGAGGGAAAAGACTGTCGAATGGCTTACACATGAGACAGTCCTGGGGGGGAAAAATGGATTCGCGGATGAAAACAAACACTAAGTCTTAACTTACGTTGCCAAAGGATCCACGAGTCCTCTTCCCCTTCGCGGTACGCTTGTCCCCCACGCCCACAATAAACTGCACAGAACGATCAACCGAGACCACAACAGCAGGGTCACAAATGTTCCTTTTCAACTGGCGCGGGAATATTCCGACACCGCCCATAACCCAACTCCTCTGACACACTATGCTGCTGCTTTATCAAAACCAAACGAAATGAGAGAGGATTGCAAGAGCCATTGCACAATGTGAAAGCTAAAACGCCTTGCCTTGTGGAAATCCCGCGACCTTCAGCGCATCCTGGTTCACGGGAGCTGCGCAGGAAACCTGCGAAGAATACTCTGACAGAGTCACGCAACTCCCAAGGGAGCTGCGGAAGTGGAGACTAAGAACGAAGAAGCAGCAGGGACGCCATGGCGGATAGGCGGAACTTCAGGAATGTCTTTGTTCAAGTTGAGATGGTCCAACGGGAGAGAGGCGCGGGAGGTGGTGGCGAGGAGTCGGTTGGGAGGTGGGCAAACAGGGAGAGAGAGAGGGAGCAGCGAAAGCGACGGTGCCGATGGTCGTGTGATTGGTGGATAGCGAGATCGCCACGTGGCGACTATATCCTCGTCATTATCAGCTCGTAAAAAGAAAACAAGGAACATTGGAAAGTTTCCAGCACGTTACATTAATTTCTGGTATTGGTTTTCGTTGACTTCTTCCATTACCGAATCGCTTCCCACGCCAACCAAATGGCTGACGTTTGAATGAGATGAAAGTTACTGGTACTGTATATGAGGAAGGTTTACGTTTGCTCTGCGGTTGATGCCAAGCAACTAATAAGGCAGAACCTTGATAATATGGCAGAATTGTCGGCAAATATTCATATAAAAGGAAAAATGTTCTGATACTTTCTTTGATTTACAAGAACAATGGTGCAGTCGACTAGTTCACCTGGGCATACCAGATGCCCTGGATCTTAACGTCCTTGGGAACCTTGGCACCCATATCAGTGTCAGAGGGCTGGACGCTGGTGAACACTCCGCCAATCTCGCCAGTCTCAACGTTCGACTTGGCCACGCTGAAGGTGATGTTGCCGCTCAAGGACTTGTACGACTTCTCGTTCTCCTTCCTCAGCTTCTCGTTGTCACCGAAGCCACCAGCAGGGAGGGCAACGGCAGAGTCGTACCCTTGAGCACCACCACGGCCCTTGGGGTCAAGGAACGTGGCACCGCGGTAAGATGGCACCAGGAAGGAACCCGCCGAAGCTGTCGGGCGTGCCGGAGGCAACCAGCTCCTTGATGGTGAAGAGGAACGGCACCCTCGTCGCCACCGGACAGCTGGACGGTGACAGCGGCGTAGTCAATGCCGTCAACCTCGGTGAACTTGATCTTGTCGCCGGAGACCTCAAGGGGGCCCTCAATCTCGTCCAGGGTGTATGTGAGGCGGGTCATGAGCTTGGTCTTCTGGAACTCCTCGCCCTGGCCCTTGAACTGGGACTCGGCCTTCACGGTGAAGGAAGTGGGCTCCAGGCACATCTTGGTGAGCTGGTACTTGCCGGACTTGAAGGCGAAGCATCAACACCGCCAGCAATGATGGGGCACTGGTTGGCGATGCCGCCTGCCCTTCACCTCAGAGTAGGGTCAGGCTCTGGAGCTCATCGAAGGTCAGCCTGGGGATCTCAGCCTGGGCAGCCTGTAAAAATGCGAACACAGAATTTTGGGTCAGCAACGGCGCTGTAAACGATCTCAGAAAAGAAAATAGGATAGAATCACATACCGATGCAAGCAGGGCGGTCGAGGCGAGAGCAAGAGCAGCGGTCTTGCCGGCATCAGCAGCCTTCTGGACGAAGCCGCGGACGTTCTCCTCCAGGGAGCAGGACACCTTGGAGGAGGCAGTCTTCAGGCCGAAAGCCTGAGACACGGGAGCGGCCTTCAGGGAGGCGGCATTGACCTTAGGCTGCACAAGGGACGCGGCCTTGAGGCTGGCGGAGACGGTGGTGGCAGCCATGGTTGCGGGATGCTAGGAAGACACCTGCAAACCAAGAATGCTACCAAAGAAAATCGGTCTGAACGGAGTGGAAGGCAACCAGAGTAGATCCCAAGGAGAAACGAAAGAGATGGTGTCTCGAGCGGGGGTGTGAATTGGATGGGCGAAACTGCATTATCCACGAACAGATGTCGCCACGATCGTCAGAACCAATGTGGTGACGCCACGATGGCAGTCGGTTCGTTCCTCGCCACCAGGTTTAGCACGCTGATTTCCTAGATGGTCGCACGGGTAGTGGCTGGGTGTGCTGGTTGCGGCAACTCTCGCAAATCCATTTCGCGTGTGCTTTCGAAACCCTGCCGGTGTACGCTCTTTACGCGTCTCAATATTGAATATTGGTCTGAATCTATTCGTCTCGAAACAAATGTTTCTCATGTACTTCAGACTTGTTCAAATCGCCAACCAGCACGAAGTTTTCTAGGCGAGGCAGCAAGTGAGGGAGCGACAGTCTGGCGTGCCTGAAGTACACGAATCAACTACTTTTCATCCCATGTCCTGAAAAGACTAGACGGCAGGCCGTCAATTCGCCAATACTTTCGAGTCCGTTTCAGTCCGGAATTTGCACAGTCGCTTGCAGCTTCGTGGATTTCTCCAATTCGATAGGGCGTTCTTTCTGTTACCCTTGTTCGATTGGTCAACCCTGCTTGCTGCCGCGTAGTCAGCTCTAGTATCCGCGTATGCGGCAAAAATGCCGTCTGCCTCCCCCACGGTGCAGGACTCACCGCATGGCAGCTTCAGGCAAGCGGACATGCGCGGAGCAGGCATGGGTCGCGGGGGGAACATGGGGGGCATGGGGGGAATGGGGATGCGCGGGCCCGGCATGCGGGACATGGGCATGCGGGGGCCAGGCGCGCGGGAGGGGCCGGGCGTCGTACGCGATACAGGAATGAGTGAGCTCGCGCTCCGATCCATGGCGATGCGGGACCCGGGCATGCGCGACGGGGGCATGCATCGCGGCGGGAGAGGCCCCGCGGGCGTACGGCGGCGCGTACGGCGGCGCATATGGCGGAGGCGCGGGGCCGCGGCGGGAATGGGGCGCGCAAGAGCAGCGGCGGTGGGGAGCCGGTGGGGGGTACGTCTCGGGAATACCGGCGTCGGGAATAGCGCCGTACGACAGTCCCCCCGAGACGACGTATGTGGAGATGGAGGACGATCCGACGGCTCACGACTCGCCGCCGTCGTATCACAGAGCGGTCGACGTGAATCCGCACATCGCGATGCTGAGACGGCGCCGCGCCATGTACAGCAGCAGCAGATCGCACTACTTGTCGGCGCTTATCAAGCAGAATCTGCCCTACATAGTCATCGCGGTTCTGCTCATTCTGTTACTTATTCAAAACCGGCGGCAACAACAGCTAGCGACTGTCTCGAATGGGGGGAATGGCGCAGCAGGTGGGGCGGGCGCGGGAGGGGGAGCCGCAGGGGCAGGGGCTAAGTCTGCAGCGGGAGAGAAAGCGGAAGCAGGGAAGGGGGGCGGGGGGCAAGCGGGGGCGGGGCAAGCGCAGTCAGGGACAGGAGCAGCGAAGAATCCAGTGGACCCACGGGTTTTGCAGCAGCAAGGGGGCGCGCAGCAGCAGCAGCAGCCGCGAGTAGAAGCTGCAGGCGCGGCAGGAGCAGCGGGCGGGGGACTGACTGCGGGGGCCGCGGGAGGGGGACTGACGGCGGGGGCAGCGGGAGGGGGACTGACGGCGGGGACAGCGGGAGGGGGGGCGGGCAGGGGCGTCAGGAGGAGGTATTGCAGCCACAACAGGGGGGACAGGCGCAGCGGGGGGCGCAGGCGCAGCAGGAGGGGGGAGCGGGGACCACTGCAGGGGCGGCGGGAGCAGCAGCAGCGGGGGGAGAGGCCGACACTTTCGGCCACTTCGACCCACAATCCGATCTGAGTGACACGGAGAAGAGGCGCGAACTGGTGAAGGCGATTCTAGAGGACCCGAACTCAAAGGTGGCAAAGGAGGTGACGCGCAACAACGTGTTCCGCGAGCACATGCCGACGTTTGGGTTCGTGCAGTTCGCAAGCTACCGCATGAGCGAGAGCAAGTTCGCCGTGGTGGGGCTGGCGTCCCGCGTGCTCAAGACCTCCCGCGAGCTGGGGCGGTGCCTGTGGAAGGAGAAGCACGGCGGCCATAGAGTCACGGGGGCAGCTCGTGGGTGAGTAGGGGGAGGGAGAGGGGGGAGGAGGGGAGGAGAGGATGAAGGCTGAGGTAGGGCAGTGGGTTGGCAGGGGCGTGGCCTGTGGATTATGAAAGCAGGGGGGCATAGGGTCACAGTTACTGGGCCTCTTTGGTGAGTGGGGAGGGAGGGGGGAGGGGTAGATGGGGGAAAGGGGGAGGGGGAATGGAGGAGGGTGAGGTAGGACAGTGGGAGAAGGACGGTAGGCACAGGGCCATGGGGGTACAAGGGGGTGAACCTGAGAAGGGGGTGAACCTGAGAAGGGGGAAGGAGTTGGAGATGGGTGAGATGGATGGAATAGGGGAAGGTGGTGAGCAGGATGGGGTTGGGAGGGAGATAGCAGTGGAAGTGAGGGGGAGTGGGTCAACAGAGAATGCGTGATGGAGTTATAGTATGAAGAGAGTGGTTGCACTTAAATGGAATGAAAGTCATTTGAGAAGCTATGCCTCTCCCCTTCCCCCCTCCTCAAACCACATCTTTCCTCCTCTTCACTGAACACTTCTCTCCCCCTCACTCCCCACCTCTCTCTTTTTCCCCACATACTCCTCCCCCGCACCCCAAACCCCGTCTCTCCCACCCTGCGCAGCCTACTACCCTGGCGACGACCACAACAAGCGGTACGAGGCGGTGGTGCTGGTGTGCGAGCTAGAGGAGTCCACCGCGCAGGACTTTGGCGGAATCCTCGTGGTAACCGTGGACAAGGAGGACATCGTCTCGTACATAGAAGACCAGGGCCAGTACCCCTCCGCCAACCCTGCCCCAGCCCTACCCCCACCGCCTCACCTACTGCTCGCCGCCGCTCGCCACGAAGCTCATCCCCATGCGGGTTTACGAGTGGATTGAGTACCATCTGCACGTGGGGGTGGACCGGGTCGTGTTGTACGACGCGGGGGGCGTTAGATCCGGAGATCATGGGGCTGATAGAGGGCTTTGTGGAGGGCGGGTACGTGCAGATCGTGGACATGCGGCGCGTGGAGCAGTTTGACATCTGGGAGTCCGGGCGGCTGCTGGCGATGAATGACTGTGTGCACCAGCACGCGTTCACCAGCCAGTGGGTGTTCTTTGCCGAGCTGAGCGAGTACTTCTCGTCGAGGTCCGGGGAGGATATGGCGGCGGTGCTGAGCCGGTTTGAGGGGCGGCCGTACGTGTCGTTTGGGAGCCGGTGGTGGTCCCTTGAGAAGTGCGTTCAGGTGGAGGGTGCTGGGGGAGGGGTAGCGGGAGGGGTAGGGAGGGGTACGGGTGGGAGGAGCTTGCTTGGTGTGGCGGGTGGGGGGGGTGGAGGAGGGTCGGCGTTAAGAGCGATGGGTAATGGCACGGGAGCTGGTGCAGATGCAGGTGCTGATGCTGTTCGCACTGCTGGCACCACTGGTGGTGGTGCTACTGCTGGTGCTGGTGGTGGCGGTGGCGCTGCTACTGCTGGGACGGCAGGCGCTACTGGTGGTGCTGCTGCTGCTGCGGTTGCTGGTACTGGTGGTGGTTCTGTTGGTGCTGCAGGAGGTGGTGGTGGTGGTGGTGGTGTTGGTGCATCTGGTGGTGGAGCCGGTGCTGCTGGTGGCGGCATCGGCACAGGCGGTGCTGCTGGCACTGCCGCTGGTGCCACCACTGCCGCTACCACCACCACCATCACCACCACCACAGCAGCAGCAGCCGCCCAACCACCCCCAGCAGTCTCACCGGTATGGGCAGTGGAGCGCATGCGCTTCCACTGGCCGCAGCTGTTCTGCACAAACAAGGACGAGTACCCGCGTGCCGAGATGTGCCTCGGCGAATTCGGCTACCGCCGCGTCGCCGTGGACCCGCGGCAGGTCATGACGGTCCTCGTGCACCGCACCAGCGTGCCGGAGATGGGCGGCGACGACTTGGACGCTAGTGAGGCGCGGTTTAACCGGTACCCGCTGCTGACGGAGGAGACGAGGAAAGCGTGCCAGCGGGAGGTGCGGGCGGGGGAGGTGGTGGAGTGGTGGGTGCGGGACGCTGAGGTGGCGGAGATTGCTGAGAAGGCGAGGAAGAGCCCTAAAGGGCGCCCGCGGGTTGGGTCTGAGTTGGCTTCGGCTCGAAGATGACAGAGAGGGGAGTGAGGGTGGCTGATGGGTGCTGCTGGTGCTGCTGCTTGGAGCATACCATAGCTGGGAGGTTGAGTTGAGGAAGCATGGGGCAGAAAGGGTTTGGGATGGTGGGTGTGAAAGATTGGTGGGTGGGTGGGTGAGTGCAGTTGTGATCTTCCAGAGTCCTGCCCTTGGCGAGGCTGCCTGCCTGGATGTCAGCCCTGTTTTACTTACAATCACTTCATACCACATCGCACCACACTCGCTTATGGATAGAATGGCTGATTGGGAATTCAAAGCTTATGGAATCCCCCTCTTGTGTATGATTCATACAGAACAGCGAGTTCATGAAAGGTTAAGGGTGTGGATGGTGGAACATTTGTGATACAAGAGGAGCGAATGTGCATCCCTCCGGACAAAATCAGGAACACATAACGCGTTAGTTCAAGCCCTAAAATGCGGAAGGATCCACACATGTGCAGGAAGTGCAGCGGGCGCTCTTCATTCGCGAGCGTCGATGACCGATGATGCTCGCAACCCTCCCATCCCCCTTGCTGGCTTGGTAATAGGCCCAGACAAGCGCAGTCATGTGATCACGCGAAAGAAAAACGCTCGGAACGTGTGCTTCCAGCCCCAAAATGCGGAAGCATCCGCACATGTGCAGGAAGTACAGCGGGCGCTCTTCATTCGCGAGTGCCGATGACCGATGATGATTGCAACCCTCCCAAGCCCTTGCTAGCTTGGAAATAGGCACAGACAAGCGCAGCCACGTGACCCGGCGGAAGAAAAACGCTTGGAACGAGCAATAAAAAAAGCACGGAAAGATCCGCACATGTGCATGAAGTGAAGCGGGCGCTCTTCATTTGCGAGCGCTGATGACCGATGATGCTCGCAACCCTCTCACGCCCTTGCGGGCTTGAAATTAGGCCCAAACAAGTGCAACCACGAGATCCAGCGGAAGAAAAACGCTGGGAACGAGCGCTTCCACCACCAAATTCCGGAAGGATCCACACATGTGCAGGCTGTGCAGCGGGCGCTATTCATTCGCGAGCGCCGATAACCAATGATGCTCACAACCCTCCCACTCCCTTGCTGGCTTCGTAATAGGTCCAGACAAGCGCAGCCACGTGACCAAGCGGAAAACGAACGCTTGATATAAGCGCACTCAGCCCCAAAATGCGGAAGGATTCACGAGTGTGCAGAAAGTGCAGCGGGCACACTTCATTTGCGAGCGCCGATGACCAATGATGCTCGCAACCCTCTCACGCCCTTGCTGGCTTTGTAATACGCCCAGACTAGTGCAGCCACGTGACCCGGCAAAAGAAAAATGCTCGAAACGAGCGCTTCCAACCCCAAAATGCGGAAGGATCCGCACATGTACAGGAAGTGCAGCGGGCGCTCTTCATTCGCGAGCACTGATGACCAATGATGCTCGCAACCCTCCCAAGCCCTTGCTAGCTTGGTAATAGGACCAGACTAGCACAGCCACGTGACCCAGGGGAAGAAAAACGCTCGGAACGAGCGCTTCCATCACCAAAACGCGGAAGGATCCGTACATGTGCAGGAAGTGCAGCAAGCGCTCTCCATTCGCGAACGCCGATGACCGATAATGCTCGCAACCCTCCCACGCCCTTGCTGGCTTGGTATTAGGACCAGACTGGCGCAGCCACGTGAAGCGACGGAAGAAAAACGCTCGGAACGAGCGCTTCCAGCCCCAAACGCGGAAGGATCCGTACATGTACAGGAAGGGCTGCGGGCGCTCTCCATTTGCGAGCGCAGATGGCCGATGATGCTCGCAACCCTCCGAAACCCTTGCTGGCTTGGTAATAGGACCAAACTAACGCAGCCACGTGTCAAACATTATATATGTTCTGCTTGTGTAGGCTACAGTGGGGTAGCCTATAGGGGGTACACAATTCTAGGGTTTCCTACTTGTACTCATTTCACTGCTAGTTCATTCATTCCTGTTCGCTTATTCTCACATGGTATAGAGCGGGTCCTTCTACGGACCGTTTTTTTGGGCCCACCGAAGCGCCCCCCGAGGCGCGATTTTTTTTAGCGACCCCTCGGGTCGTCATTTTCCCTGCGGCCCCGCCGCTTTCACTGACGCGGCCCCGCCGCCCTCTCTGACGGGGCCCCGCCGCCGGCCCTTACGCGGCCCCGTCGCCGGCTCTCACGCGGCCCCGCAGCAGGCTCTGTCGCGGCCCCGCCCCGGCCTTTACGCGGCCCCGCCGCCTGCTCTCACGCGGCCCCGCCCCGGCTCCTTCGCGGCCCCGCCGCCTGCTCTCGCGCGGCCCCGCCCCGGCTTCTACGCGGCCCCGCCCCGGCTTTCACGCGGCCCCGCCGACGGCTTTGTCGCGGCCCCGCCCAGGCCCTTACGCGGCCCCGCCGCCTGCTCTCACGCGGCCCCGCCCCGGCTCCTTCGCGGCCCCGCCGCCTGCTCTTGCGCGGCCCCGCCCCGGCTTCTACGCGGCCCCGCCCCGGCTTTCACGCGGCCCCGCCGACGGCTTTGTCGCGGCCCCGCCCAGGCCCTTACGCGGCCCCGCCGCCTGCTCTCACGCGGCCCCGCCCCGGCTCCTTCGCGGCCCCGCCGCCTGCTCTCGCGCGGCCCCGCCCCGGCTTCTACGCGGCCCCGCCCCGGCTTTCACGCGGCCCCGCCGACGGCTTTGTCGCGGCCCCGCCCAGGCCCTTACGCGGCCCCGTCGCCTGCTCTCACGCGGCCCCGCCCCGGCTCCTTCGCGGCCCCGCCGCCTGCTCTCGCGCGGCCCCGCCCCGGCTTCTACGCGGCCCCGCCCCGGCTTTCACGCGACCCCGCCGACGGCTCTGTCGCGGCCCCGCCCAGGCCCTTACGTGGTCCCGCCGCCTCCCCCCGTCGCGGCCCGGTCGCCTCCTGACGGCCCCGCCGTCCCATCGTGACGGCCCCGCCGTCCCTTCCTGACGGCCCCGCCGTCCCCTCCTGACGGCTCCTGCCGTCCCCTTCTACCGGCCCCGCAACTGCACCTGCTGGCCCCGCCGCTGCACCTACCGGCCCCCACCACCCACCCCCCCTTTTCCCGTCGCCTGTCGAGGCGACCTGAGAGGCCAGCAGAGGGGTGGCAGGTGTGTGGCCTCCCCTGCTTCTCCTCCTCCTTCATCGCTCACCTGCAGCAGCCGAGCCGCCCCACCGCCGAGCCGCCCTGCACCCGAGCCGCCCAGCAGCCGAGCCGCCCTGCCGCCGAGCCGCCGGGTCGCTGAGCTGCTGAGCTGCAGTTGCTGCCGAGCCGCCCTGCCGCCGAGCCGCCGAGTCACCGAGCTGCTGAGCTGCAGTTGCTGCCGAGCCGCCTTGCCGCCGAGCCGCCCGAGTCGCCCGAGCCGCCGAGCCGCCGAGCTGCCGAGCCGCTGAGTCGCCGAGCCTACTCTTCCCACCACTGGTGAGCTCTTGCCCTGCTAGCACGCTCACGTCGCCTGCTTGCCTGCCTGCCTGCCTTTTGGCTTGCCTGGCTGCCTGCCTTCCTGCTGCTAGTCCTGCTCCTGCTTCTACTTGCGGAGCCAGATGCAGCCCCAGCGACGCCTGCGTGAGTCCCTCACGCCCCAGCAGCTGCGTGAGTGGTACGCTGGTTGGGGCTGTAGGGGTGGCGACGCTACTCCTACTTCCACTCCTGCTGCTTCTACTCGTGGTGGCGGCCGGATGCAGCTCCCGCGACCCTCTCGCGTGTCTCTCACGCCTCGCCAGCTTCGTGAGTGGTACGCTCAGAGTGGAGGGTCTCTCAGTGCTGTTCGCTGCTCTTACGTGATTCGCACTGGTACTCGGACTGGTCAGCCTTGTGGGACACGTAGTCATACACCGTCCCGCTGCTTCGCCCGTCTGAGCGACGCCTGGCGTACCGTGTTTGGCGACGAGGCTGAGCTCCCCGACTGGGTGGAGTTGCTTAGGCAGAGGGTAGATATATATGCTCTTGACTATGATGCTATTCTCACTGCCATGTATGCATTGCCTACTAGTGCTGACCGTGCCGGTCACCTGTGCGTCCCGCCTGACCCAGGTATAGGACCTGCTGCTCTAGCTACTAGTGCGGCTGCTGCTCTGGGTGCTAGTGAGTCTCCTGCTCCAGGTACAGGTGCGGCTGCTGCTCTAGGTGCTAGTGAGTCTGCTTCCTCAGGTGCGGGTGAGGCTGCGCTCTCAGGTACCGCGTTGGCTTCGGCCTCCCTCACCTTTACACTTGACTCTGGGGCTTCTCGCTCCTTCTTTCGGGACCGCACCACACTCACGCCGCTTGGTCGGCCGGTTGCTGTCTCCCTGGCTGACCCCTCTGGGGGTCCTGTCCTCGCTCACTTCTCCACTGTCCTCCCGTGTCCGGCTGCCCCCTCGGGCACCCTGTCTGGCCTGTACCTCCCCTCGTTCTCGACGAACTTGGTGAGTGGTGCAGACCTACAGGATGCGGGGGTTCACCAGTTCACTCCTGCGAGTCAGCGGGTGACCCACTGCACGGACGCACGCACAGGCCGGCACCTGGCCACGTTCTCGCGTCGGCCGGGGTCGAGCCTCTACACCCTGACCACTGAGTCTCCTCCTGTCCCCGCGTCCGGTCAGGTAGCAGCGTCGGGTCAGGTGTTTGCTGCTGCGTCCAGGTCTGGTCCTGAGTCTGCCCCCTGTTCGTGTCGCCTCCTGTCTCACGAGACTCTTCTGTGGCACCACCGTCTAGGCCACCCCTCCTTGCCCGTCTTCGGGGCATGGCTTCCCGTGTCCTTGTCTCTGGTCTTCCCCAGTCTCTCCCTCCCCTTCCTTCGGGACCAGGACCTTCCTGTGTCCCCTGTGTCGAGGGGCGCCTCAGGGCTGCTCCTCACTCCTCCCAGTTTCCCCCGACAGAGGCTCCTCTGCAGACGCTTCACATGGACGTGTGGGGCCCGGCCCCCGTCCGTGGGCAGGGTCACGAGCGCTACTTCCTGTTGGTGGTTGACGACTACTCGCGTTACACCTCAGTCTTCCCCTTGCGCAGCAAGGGTGCTGTCACTGAGGTGCTGATCGACTGGATCCGCGA